GAGGAGGAGGAGGAGGAGGAGGAGGAGGAGGAGGAGGAGGAGGAGGAAGAAGAAGAAGACAATAGGGTCCCTGGTGCTCTCTGAGCTGGGTGGTTTTCTTGCAGACATTTCATGACCCAACTAGGTAACATCATCAGTGCTAAGAGGGAGTAGGCATGCAGGGAGGAGGAGGAAGAGGAGGAGGAGGAAGAGAAAGAGGAGGAGGAGGAGGACTGTGGGGTCCCTGGTGCTCTCTGAGCTGGGTGGTTTTCTTGCAGATGTTTATTAGTACGTAAAAATAAGAGCGAACCCTCCTCCCTTCTACCACTGATGGCGTTACCTAGTTGGGTCATGAAATATCTATGAGAAAATTGCAAAGCTCAGGGAGTACCAAGGACCCCACAGTCCTCCTCCTCCTCCTCCTCCTTATCCTGAAACCACTTCAACGACTACAATTGATGGTGATGGTGATCATGATAGCCCTGATGAGGTTCCCTAGTTGGGTCATGAAACGTCTGCAAGAAAACCACCCAGCTCAGAGAGCACCAAGGACCCCACAATGAAATAGCCTTAGTATTCATTGTGTTTCTTTTCTGGAGTACCTGAAAGGACCAACGCAGAAGGACAAAGTAAGGCTAGAGAGGCAAACTGGGTGGGACACTTATACCTGGTGGTCTCTTTTCCAAGAATGGTTGGCCCGCTAGGGAAATAGCGGTCCGGCCCTTGAACCCTTATCCTTCAGTCATGGAATAGCAGCTTTCCACGGCCTCTTCTGGACTGGAGTACAAAGATCTGTGAGGTTGGTTGGTGGAGCAGGAAGATACAGAAGTAACAGAATACCACAGTTGGAAGGGACTTTGGAGGTCTTATAGTCCACCCCCCTGCTCAAGCAGGAGACCCTGTACCATTCCGGACAAATGGCTGTCCAGTCTCTTCTTAAAATCCTCCAGTGATGGAGCATCCACAACTTCTGGTGGCAAGCAGTTCCACTGGCTAATGGTCCTCACTTTTAGGAAGTTTCTCCTTAATTCCAGGTTGCTTCTCTTCTTGATGAGTTTCCATCCGTTGCTTCTTCTCCGGCCTCTTCAGGGGCTTTGGAGAATAGCTTGACCCCCTCTTCTTATTCTTTGGGGCAGCCCCTCAAATATTGGGTATCATGTCACCCCTAGTCCTTCTTTTCATTAAACTAGACATCCCCAATTCCAGCCACCATTCTTCGTATGGTTTAGCCTCCAGTCCCCTAATCCCCTTTGTTGCTCTTCTCGGCACTCTTCCCAGAGTTCCACAACATCTTTTTTGTGACCAAATATAGGTCTCTTGCCTTGGCCATAGGGTGGGACTAGAGCAGGGGTGGGCCGGGGACCACTGGCGGTCCATGAGGAAATTTTGGTGGTCCGTAGAGAAATGTCCCCCTTCCCCCAAAGCAATTAATCCAGGCTGCGCGGGAACACAAGGCTGCACCGCCCACATGGCTCATGGGAACACAAGGTTTGCGTCGCTTGCATTGCGAACAACACGAGGTAGTGAGGGGAGGGGGGAAAGGGGGAGGGGGGGAACTTGCCCCACTAGCCCCACACACCTGGCCTGGCCACCGGGCTGCTTCTTTCTGCTTCTTTCTTCTTCTGCTTTTGGCTGCACTCAAGGAAAGCAGCAAAAGTCTTTCTTTCCTTCCCACAAACTCCGCCAGAAATGAGTCTTTGGGACCCTGCAAGGCCTCCTGCTCCAAGAGGCTGCGCCGGCAAAGACTCATTTCTGGCAGAGTTTGGGGGAGAGAAAGAAAGACTTCTGCGGCTCCTGCTGCTTTCCTTGCATGAAGCCAAAAGTCTCTCTCTCTTTCCCTGAGAACGGAGCTGGAGACGGTGTCCTGCGGTCCCAAATAAAGAATGATCAATCGTAGGAAAACGGGGTGGGGGATTTTCCTGCACACTTTTGGGGGGCATTTTCCCAGGGTCTCAGGTCCGCGGGATTTAAAATGATGAGTTTGGTGGTCCCTGAGGTCCAAAAGCTTGGCGACCCCTGGACTAGATGACCTCCAAGCTCCCTCCCAACTCTGTTACTCTGTTATTCTTGGGCAGTGTGTGTTTGGGTTTAGGGTTTTTGTGTCATTTTGTGGAAAAGACACAGCAAGGAAAGGAACCTCTTAAGAAGAGGAAATGGCTGCCCGGTCTTACATTTGGGGGTCTTAAATAACCCCAAGTGACTCTCTTTTTTTGGTCATTTTCCTCAGGTTCTGCCTCATGGTAAAAAAGGGGTACAGAGACCCTCCGTATCACAACTGGATGCACGCCTTCTCCGTCTCCCACTTCTGCTACTTGCTGTACAAGAATCTGGAGCTCATCAACTACCTGGAGTAAGTGGACGTGGATGATGGGCTTGGTTTAGGCCCGGGGGTCGTCAGAGAGCGAGTCCCTACCGGGCTGCGGGACACAGGAAAAGGATCTTAAAGGATCTCTTGGGACAACACAAGCTGAGGTTGGACCCACAACTCTTGGTTCCCTGTTCAGCTTGTGGAAGTCGGGGCGCCAGCTTTCCAAACCCAGCAAAGACACGGCGGAGGGTCCCCCAAAGCCATTTCCTTTCTTGTTTCTTCGCCTTGAGGGGGAAATCTTGCAAAATGAAACCTCAATTTCATAACCACGATGGCGAACCTGTGGCATGCATGTCACAGGGGGCACGCAGAGCCATTTGTGTGGGCCCATGAGCCCCAGTTAAACTTACCTGCGCTGCGCATGGGTGTGCCTCCCAGCTGGTTTTCTGCCCATTTGAGACCGTTTTTGCTCTCCCGGAGGCTCGGGGGAAGCCTCTGCAGCCTTCCGGAAATACCAGGAGTGCCGAAACGGGCCCCTTTTTTTAGCCTCCCAAGGTTTCAGAGGCTTCCCTCGAGCCTCCGGGAGGGCGAAAATGGCCTCATTTTTTTGCCCAAAATAAGCTGGGAGGTGCACGCATGCGCAGTGCAGGTCAGGGGACATGGCAGGGGTGCTGCGCACGCATGTGCGGGGAGGGTGCGCGCTTTGGGCACACCACAACAAAAAGGTTCGCCATCACTGACTTAGAACCGCTTGTTGAGTGACCGAAGTTATAACAGCACCGGAAAAAAGGGACTTAGGGCTGAGGGTGGGATTCAAACATCCCAACAACTGTTTCTCTGTCAGGTTGCTGGGAGGGCGTGGCCATGGTGGGCGTGGCCTGCCGGAACTTTTGGGAGGGCCATTTTTTTTTTTGCCTTCCCCAGAGTCTGGAGGCTTCCCTCAGGCCTCTGGGGGGGGCCTCCGGAAGCCAGAAACAGGCCCGTTTCCGGACTTACAGAACTTCTGGGTTTGGCCCGTTTTTGGCCCTTCCAGACCCTGCACTTACCTGTGCAGGTAAAAACAGAAGCGTGGAGACTTCTGGGAGGGGTGGGGTTGGGCGAGGCCAGCCGATCGTTTCAACTACCAGTTCAGCGAACCGGATGGTAAATTTAACACCCGGTTCGTTCAAACCGGCCCAAACCGGGCTGAATCCCACCCCTGCTTATGGCCCTTTTTTTCACACTTGTGACCATGACAGCATCCCCATAATCACACGGTCAAAATTCAGACGCTTGGCAAGTGGTTCGTATGGAGGGCAGTTTGCAACGTCCTCCAGAATGCTGCTGTCACCTCCCCCCCTAGTCCTTCTGGTCGTTAAACGAGACAGAGCCAGTTCCTGCAACCGTTCTTCAGGCGTTTTATCCTCCAACCCCGTAATCATCTCTGGGGCTCTTCTCTTTTTTTAACAGCATGGTGCCCAAAACGGGATACAATTGAGGTAGTCCTCAATGTTATGACCACAACAGAGCCCAACGTTTCAGTAGTTCAGCGAGACAGTTCTGAGCGGGTGAATTTTATGCCGTTTTAGGATCATTCCCGCCAAAGTTGTTAAGGGAATCCCTACAGTTAATCACACGGTCCTTAAGCGAATCTGTTTTCCCCTTGGGCTCTACTTGTCCGAAGGTCGCCAAAGGGGATCACATGACCCCAGCACACTGCGACCGTCGTAAACACGAGTCAGTGGCCGAGTTTTGATCACGTCACCCACGGGAATGCTGCAGTGGTCCGTAGGTGTGAAAAAAACGGGCCTAAGTCGCTCTTGCCGGTGGCGCGGTAACCAAACGGTCACTGAACGAACTGTTGTAAGTCGAGGACTACCTGTGTTCCAGGTGTGGCCTTACCAAGCCATGGCAAAAGAAAAAGGTACTCACGCTTTGCGTGAGTTTGATTCTGCCCCCTTTTGTCGATGCCGCCCCGAACTGACCCCCCCTCCCCTGTTTTTCCTCCCCTGTAGAGACATTGAAATCTTTGCCTTGTTCATCTCCTGCATGTGCCACGACTTGGACCACCGAGGCACCAACAATTCTTTTCAAGTGGCATCGGTAAGGTTGGAAAGACCCCACTCACTCACCCACCCACCCCCCTCTGCAAGGGAGGATAGAGGGGTGGGTCTCGCTAGAGAGTAGGGTATAGAGTAGAAGACAAGAGAATAATAAAATAGAATGTAGAATAGGAGATGGGCTAGGATAGAATATTGGAATAAAAAATAGAGTAGAGTAGAATAGAAGATAGAATAGAATATAGAACAGAACAGAATTGAATAGAATAGAAAAGCAGAATGAAGAATAGAATAGAATAGAATAGAATAGAATAGAATAGAATAGAATAGAATAGAATAGAATGGAATGGAATGGAATGGAATGGAATGGAATGGAATGGAAGGGAAGGGAAGGGAAGGGAAGGGAAGGGAAGGGAAGGGAAGGGAAGGGAAATAGAATAGAACAGGAGGGAATAGAAGAGAATAGAAATAGAAATAGAATGGAATGGAATGGAATGGAATGGAAGGGAAGGGAAGGGAAGGGAAGGGAAGGGAAGGGAAGGGAAATAGAATAGAACAGGAGGGAATAGAATAGAATAGAATAGAACAGGAGGGAAGAGAAGAGAAGAGAAGAGAAGAGAAGAGAAGAGAATATATAATATAATGTCAATAGAATAGAATATTGGAATAAAGAATAGAATAGAATAGAATAGAATAGAATAGAATAGAATATTGGAATGAAGAAGAGGAGAGGAGAGAATAAAGAACAGAACAGAATTGAAGTAGAACAGAACAGAATAGAGCTGGAAGGGACCTTGGAGGTCTTCTAGTCCAGCCCCCCCCCCCCCCCCCCCGCTCAAGCAGGAGAACCAGGCTAGCAGACGTTGTGGCCCATTTCCACCCAGGACCAGGTTTGCTCTGTTTCTGCTCATCCGCCCCCTTGGGGGGGGAGGGTCTCCTTCACCCCCTACCCAACCTCTCCAATGAAAGCTACCTCCCTTCTCCCTCTTCCAGAAATCCGTCCTGGCAGCTTTGTACAGTTCCGAAGGATCCGTGATGGAGGTAAAGGAATTTTGATCAGGGGCCCCGGGGGGGGGGGGGGGAAATGCTGCGACGGTTGTAAGTCAGAGGACCAATTATAATGATGATGATGAGCTTAGCCCTCTTGTAACCTCAGAAGGTTCTTGTTCTGGTTAAAGAGCCCCGTGAGGCGAGGGCTACCTGTATGCCCCTCACCTGCTCCTGCACAACCCCGTGCGCCCTTGCACAAAATGGCTGACTGACGAGTGCCGTCCCGCAACGTATTCGCTGACATCTCTCCCTTGTTGTGTTTTGTTGGTCTCAGAGACACCATTTCGCTCAAGCCATCGCCATCCTGAACACGCACGGCTGCAACATCTTTGATCATTTCTCTCGCAAGGTGGGCTTTCCTGGGCAGGCTGGCCCTCATCCGGAGGCGTGAGGAAAAATTGGGGAGGGGGCTTTTAAAAAGGAATTTAGGGGGGGGGTTATGACACAGGTACATAGGTACGACCTTGGCTTCTTTGGCACTCCTTTCCTCCCCAGATGGCCCTGGGGTGTGCTAACTGGGGGGATTCTGGGAGTTGAAATTCACCTCTGGTCACTGGAGGACTCTGGGAGTTGAAGTCCATCTCTTATGAATG